CCCGTATGGGATTAGAACAATGCCGCCTTATCCCATAGTCCAGCCAATAATGCAATTCACATTCGTATATACGCAGCTAATCAACGTCGTGGGCATGCTGTTTTAGCTAGCAAAGCGGCGTTGCTGATGTGGAGTGAAGCCACGTTTCCTATTGGTTGAAAAATGTACTATGCGGACCAATCAAAAAATGATATGGCAACATGGCATTTAGTTGTTTAGGAAGGGGGGGAGTTTTAGGTGACGGCGGTGTTTTGAGATTTGAGAGATTTGGGACATTTAGCGCAAATCTTGTGTAGTTAGTGTGTAGCAGAGGTGTGGACTCGAGTCACATGACTTGGACTCGAGTCAGACTCGAGTCATTAATTTTATGACTTTAGACTTGACTTGAAAAAATGTTCTAAGACTTGTGACTTGACTTGGACTTTTACACCAATGACCTGGGACTTGAATTGGACTTGAACCGGTTTACTTGAAAAGACTTGATATTTCACCCCAAATATAAAATTTAACATGCATATTATATAGAGATTGAAAATGTGACGTCATTCAGGGGTAAACAGCAAAGGATTCTGGGAACTCGTGGCAAGAGGTACTAGCGCACACAGGCTTTCAATTGAAATCAGTCACACAGCGATAAAAAGAAACACAAAAATGTCAAGAAGCCGTTGTATTATTAACTGCAATAGCCGGTTGCATGACAGCCACGGGAAGCCGACGGGTAAAGAGATCGGTTGTTATCGGATTACCTCATTGAAGAGAAATTGTTCGAGCCATGTTTCCGAAGTAACAAAGACGCGACGGATGGCCTGGATTGCAGCCATTCAAAGATCAAATCCCGGAACACTCCAGCTCACAGGTTAGTCTGCTCCAAGCATTTACACGAAGGTCAGTCTGCTGTAGTAGTTAATACGTCATTTTCATAACATAATTTGTGATATAGGTTACAAGCAAGTCTGGCGCTGAACAGAAATTGTCGCGCTATACTCCTTTGTTTATTGTGCATAAATAGTGAATTGTCCTGACACAATATTGCGTTTCGCCTCTGTTATTATGGTACATTGAAAAAAACATATACTTTTATTCACAGGGTAAAACAGGTTTTTTGTATCACTAATTGCCCAGTACGATTACAGCATACAGTATTATTGTCACTGCTACATTTCTGTGATGCTACCAGAAATTATTTCCACTACAAATTAATTACCGTTGAGCTCAAAGGTCCTATTAATAAACGGTTAAGGAATGTGTATTTATGAAGACAATTTGTGAGACTGGTAAACTTATGATACGTACGATGGTCTTTCGTTCTACACGGTGCATTTCAAGGTCCTGCACCCATCCGTCGGTAAACTGTACCTGGGCTTGTTGCAGTGACCTGAAGTTACTAAACTTCATGAGTGTGTGCACTCACTCCAAGAACCGTATAATTATAAATATGCATATAAATATGCTACGATGAGATAGCTGACTTCATCTAACTAGCAAATGTTGTCCAGGCTACGTTGGTGATACAGTTTTTTTTAATGTGTATGATATTTTTGTCATGCGATTTTAAAGCCAGTCCTACAAGCGCATCCAAGAATAACATGCAGCTTATCTCAGAACTGTCTGTGAAAATTATTCTTGGAGCTAGGTTTAATTGAGCTGCATTTTATAGAGGTGCAATTTCACAATTTGTGTATATTTTCTAAGTTCACTATTTTGTCATGTGTTGAGAAAAACACAGATTTTAAAATTACATGGTCTAATATTTACATTTAGCATAACTGCAACATTATTTTTTTGTTTTTTTTTTTTTTTTAAGACTCGAAAGGACTTGAAATTCAAAATTTCAGACTTGTGACTTGACTCGGACTTTTACACCAGTGACTTGAGACTCGACTCTGACTTGCCTGACATTACTTGAGACTTGACTTGAGACTTGAGGATAAAGACTTGAGACTTACTTGAGACTTGCAAAACAATGACTTGGTCCCACCTCTGGTATGTAGTGTAGTCAATAGTTTTGTTGAGTGTGTCAGAACCATGAGGCGACTGCTGAATGTTACAGGTGTTACAGGAGTCACACATCTCCTGTTGTCAGGCCTGCAGGTATCAGGCTGTTGTTCTTCTTTATCTCATAGTGGACAGAAATTATTTTTTGGAGTGGCACAAATAATTTGTGTGGCATCAAATTTGCAGAACAGCTGATTGTTCTGTAAATAGTTTGAAATGTTTATTTGAAAAAACGCCTTGGCTGCATTTTTAGGTAAACAGCTGCAAAAACTTTGTTGTTTGCATAACTCAGTTACTTTTTTGAAGAAGTAACTATATAATTCATTTCCTTTAGAGCTTTATTTAAAAAAAAAAAAGAAAGAAAGAAAGTTGTGTTTTCAAAATTGGAGTTCAAGTTTCAACTTCCAATAGTGTTAACATACTACACAGGTCATGAACAAGATTTTTTTTTATTTTCATTGTAAGTGGGCTAAAGCACTTAATTAAAAGTAGTCTAACATAAATGTAAATGCTGTAATTTGATTATTTTAATAAACCATGTAACTTGGATGGATTCGATGCTGGCGGGACCACAGTGCACACGTCTGCTGTCGCTCACAGTGGTCCAAGGGATCGCTCAGAGAGTTTGTGTGTCCGCTCAGACACATGAAAAATTAGAGGGAACATTGCTTATAAGGGTTACAAAATTCTTCATATTTGAGCGTCCATTATAACGCCTTTGAACGTTAGTCAGGTCACATAATCGCATCGCGTCTACATTACCTCTCTTGAAATGATGTGTCAATTTGGCATTAGATTTCTTTCAAATTCAAATCCTTCCAGGGAAATGAGATCGTTTCTCACGCATAACTCTCAGCATCAAGGCACAGCGAGTAGTTAATGTGCAGGTAAAAGCTTCAGGAATGCAACTCGAGCCCGTCAATAAACGTTAAGCCTGCCAGTAAGGTTTTGACAGCACATCTAGAGTTAGGTTCATTAATGGTCTCAAGCTTTTTTTATATACTTCTCCTTAAAATGACTCTGAACTGAGCAACATGTGTTTTACACCATCACAGCCTAATTGCTCCATGTCTTTGTCACCTCCCTGTTGTTATTCTGTGCACTTAATATGAACAGCTGAAAAAGACTAAGAGGCGACAATGGTGAACATGTGTTCTTTACATGGGTTCAGCTAAGGGGATCGTAATTACTAAACGTGTAAAAACCTGATAGCAATTCTCGTGTTGTTAAATAACACAAGCAAGCAACGCTATCATTTCCTATAAAAGGTGTTTAGGAGGCAAAAGGGAAAAATTGTTTAAACTAAATTTTAATTAGTAGAGCATCAGGAACATTTCCTAGTCAAAATATAGTGCATTTAAAAACCCAATGATTTTTTTCACTAATAAATGAGCCTAGCCTAGTTGACTGCCTTGAGTTGTGCTGTTTCAAAGCTGTACTAATCAATATTTTCATAATACAAACAGGTGAAATATCCAAGTGTAGTTGGGAAGGGATTGTGAATATAGATCCGCAGTAAATTACTGACAGTGTGCACTCAGCATCTTAGTCTGTTTGGTTTTGATGTCTACGGTTCTGCAGCACCTCAATAAAAGCTGAACCCTTGTCGGTTTGCTGGTCTGAAGCAGTCAGGTGTGTGTTAACACAATGCCAAGGAGGAAAGACATCTGCATCATTGCTACCCATCAATCTGGGAAACATTATAAAGTCATTTCCATACAAAAAGTTCAAGTCAACTGGAAAACATTCAAGACTGTTGCCAGTCTTCCCAGAAGTGGACGTCACAGCAAACTCCAAGGTCAGACCGTGCAACGCTCCGAGAAAGTGGAAAAAAGCCCAAGAGCTACACCGTAGACTCTACAGGCCTCAGTTAGCAAGTTAAATGTTAAAGTTTATGATAGAAAATTAAAAAAAGAGTGAACAAGTATGACTTGTTTGGAGGGGTTGCTGAGTTCTACATGCTACTGAATCACAAGGTACACTTAATTTTACACAGGACTGCTTCTCGAACTGGAAGGTTGTTTTTTCTTCTTCTTTACCCTCATAAATAAAACCTTAGAACTGAGAGAGGGTGCACAAGTATGACTTAAATGGTTTTGATGCATTCTCAATCATCCAGGTAAGAAAACCTCCAAGAGGTTATTCTGTTCATCTGGACGTAGGATTTTCAGTGGGAGAAACGTTTCGTCACTCATCCAAGTGACTTCTTCAGTCTCCTTCTTCAGAGACTCAAGAAGTCACTTGGATGAGTGACAAACAATACAATGAGTGCTACATACAACAGCATTTATGAAATATTAGCAACAATCGCTTAAGCTAAGATGCATGGAGATAATAAGAGTAATATATTAAAGAGCAATTTATAGAGTAAATTATTAATGTTTACTGGCAAGTTAGGTATAAAAAAATCCAGATAAATGCTAATGTTTCTTAGCGACTAGCTGAAGTATAATTAGTTATTTTTAAGCTATCATTTTGGCTATAGTCAATATGTAAACACTGATTTTTACTGTCTGTTCTGCTCCTTCTATTGGTGCCTTAAATATAAATGTCAGCTAGAATGTAACTATCTATCTAGGTACTGTAATAATGCTCCCTGCATTATTTAAATGCTATAATCTAATGAGATACAAGCTCACTTAAAGTGAGCTTTTAAAAATAATAATAATATGTAATCTAATTACTGCTGCACTGTGCACACTACTCGACTGCACTATAACAAACCTGAAACATCACATCAGCACATCTCTGTGTATGTTTAAACTGGGTAAAAGAAAGCAAGCAACATTGGGTGCAGCGCTGCTCTCTCCGAGTTCAAAAGCAAATCACTACAGCGCGGTTACCAGCACACCGATGAATTTTGGACACGAATCAAGGAGTGTTTCTCTAATGCGAGCAGCTGTATAGCTAGTCACCTGCGAGAGTACAGCTGACACACACAGGTAGAGTGTACAGAAGATAACCTGACAGGTGTTGGACACACAAACACGTTCACACGCACACACCTGATGCTAGTCATGCTTCCAGTCTCAGAGCCAAGCTTGCATCTCTCCAGCTGACTGGCGACAATCTGTCGTTCGGCTTCCAGCTCCCTGGTCAGACGTTCAAACTGCAGCTCCTAGAAAGAGAAAGAGAGACGGGGAGGGAGAGCAAGAATGTGTCAAAACAATCTGTCTATTTATTTACTGTCACGTTTACAGTCATCCTGAGCATTAGTTTGGCTGCGTTCTCGCTGACACATTTTTAATTGTTGTGAAATGGACTCCGCAGTCTGTGGTGGGAAAACAGGCCAGATATCGCTGCGTCTGCCAAGTTTCACACTGCCAGATATTCACAGAGAAGAGTTTGACATGTTGCAAAACTGTGACACCAAACTCAAACCATCACAAATGTGACATTTGCTATTGTGCCACTGAGGAAAGTCATGGAACAGCAGAAGGTTTTGGGGGAGAAGAATTCTGCTATTTTTGACATATAGTGTCAAAAAAGTTGTAAGCATTACTCTAATACTTGGCTCATCTATGCACTGACACCCGATGGATTTATACCCTGCTGATAGGCATATGCTGGTTGATATTAATGGAGTGGTGGGAAAAAAGTTGTCAGTCACATCTCACAAAAAAAACATTCATTCCCCCCTCCCCGCCCCCAATTGTTCTAGGATAACAGACAAGAAGGACAGCCCTAACTGTCCAGCCAGTGTGACGAAGAACTTCAGCTGCAAGAACATCCCTGGGGAAATGCATGTACCATGTTAAAGCTCTGCACATATGTATCTATGAGGAAATTGTGAATTCCCGCATACTCTAAAAATATGAATATGAAGAAATGGGCCCATTGAGATAAACAGCTGGTGACACCAATTCTCCAGTGGAGTGACATTACACCACTGCAGAAGAGATTGCAGCAAAATGATCCAGTCCAAAGAGCAACAAAGAGGATGTGGAAAACATGATGGACATAATTTAGTATGTTTTATGTATTTAATTGGATGGTTTTCTATCTTTCCGGCAGACCAGGAGGTTCAATGGTTTTTTTTTTAAAGGCCGTGCTTAATGGTTATTTCCACTGCAATTGCGTCACATTAGCTACGTTCACACTGCAGGTCTTAATGCTTAATTCAGATTTTTTGATCAAATCCGATTTTTTTTGTCTGCTCGTTCACACTACAAATAAAATGCGACAGTAAACGCGCTCTAGTGTGAACCCTCAAAGCGGCCCGCATGCGCAGAAGAAGACGTCACACACAACGCGCTCTGTTTAGACCCAGAGTAAACAATGGCTGTATCCCAATTCAGGGTCTGCAGCCTTAAAGTACGCAGCCTCAACGATCCTCAAGGGCCGCGTACTCAAAGACCGCTGTTACGTTTCGGTGTTGTCAGTGTTTTGTTTTTTACCAAACTGTCATGTGTTTCCTGTTTTACTTTGAAAGTCTGTGTTATCTTAGTGTGTTCAGTTTACATTTTTCCCTGTCTCGTCAGTTCTAATTTGCCCCAGCTGTGTTTCCCTCCTGTGGTCCATTCCCTGATTGCTCCTTCTATGTATTTAAGCCTTGTGTTTCTGTATGTCATGGTCGCGATCTTCCCCCCCGTTGTAAATAGTTTGACGTCTGGTGTTTGGTGATGTAAATAAATGTGGTGTTTTGCTTTAAATCTCGTTTTGGGATTATTTTTTTTTTCCTTTTTTTTTATTTTTCTGCGTTGCACCCCGGTTGCCTAGGCCGGGGTGTAACATATGGGGGCTCGTCCGGGATCGCTGGAGGGTCCGAAGGAGGGACAGCTTCGGCCTTCTGTCTTCGCTGGAGGGTCCGAGGACCGCTTCAGTCTCCGTCTGTCTTCGCTGGAGGATCCGAGGGACCGCTCCAGCCTTCTGCAGCTGGTGGGCTGCGTGTCCGTGTGTGCAGCTGGTGGGCTGCGTGTCCGTGTGTGCAGCTGGTGGGCTGCGTGTCCGTGTGTGCAGCTGGTGGGCTGCGTGTCCGTGTGTGCAGCTGGTGGGCTGCGTGTCCGTGTGTGCAGCTAGTGAGCTGCTCATCCGCCTTCGCTGGAGCGTCCGAGGGACCGCTCCAGCCTTCATCCGCCTCTGCTGGAGGGTCCGGGGGACCGCACCAGCCTTCGTCGTCTGCTGGAGGGTCCGTGGGACCGCTCCAGCCTCCATCAGCTTCGTCTGCCTTCATCCGCCTTCGCTGGGGGGAGGGTCCGTGGGACCGCCCCAGCCTTTGTCGTCGCTGGAGGGTCCGTGGGACCGCTCCAGCCTTCATCCGCCTTCGCTGGAGGGTCCGAGGGACCGCTCCAGCCTTCGTCGTCTGCTGGAGGGTCAGTGGGACCGCTCCAGCCTCCATCAGCTTCGTCTGCCTTCGTTTCAGCCTTCGTTTGTTTGATCAAACATTTCACTTGGGGTTACATGTTTGATTTTTGGGTGGGGGGAAATGTTACGTTTCGGTGTTGTCAGTGTTTTGTTTTTTACCAAACTGTCATGTGTTTCCTGTTTTACTTTGAAAGTCTGTGTTATCTTAGTGTGTTCAGTTTACATTTTTCCCTGTCTCGTCAGTTCTAATTTGCCCCAGCTGTGTTTCCCTCCTGTGGTCCATTCCCTGATTGCTCCTTCTATGTATTTAAGCCTTGTGTTTCTGTATGTCATGGTCGCGATCTCCCCCCCGTTGTAAATAGTTTGACGTCTGGTGTTTGGTGATGTAAATAAATGTGGTATTTTGCTTTAAATCTCGTTTTGGGATTATTTTTATTTTCCTTTTTTTTTTTTTTTTTTTTCTGCGTTGCACCCCGGTTGCCTAGGCCGGGGTGTAACACCGCTAAGGCCGGAAGTGCGAGGCTTGTGAAATGGGACGGTCTAGCCTCCGTCGCGCTGCCCAGGTTGCCTAGCAACCATGATACTAACAGCTGGAAACGTGTCATACAGCTTTGTTTGACAGACATGAAGGAGAAAATCTTTTGTTCATTTGTTTGTTTCTTTCTACATTCTCTGTAAGATTAAGGTCAGCTATTGAACGGCGTATATTTTAAAGTAAAGGCCTTAAAACCAAGTTAGTACAAACGTCACTAATGTCACATAACTTTGCCGACATGTTGCCAACAGTAATTTTTAATGTTCTTCGTTATTAAACATTTGCACATAAATAAGTGACATAATATTCTGTACTTAATTAAAGTTTACTCTTCGGCCGCCCCTCATCCGCCGTTTTTTTTCGGCAAAATTATTCACACCCACCGCCGCGCTATGCATTCTGGGATATGTTGGGCCACGAAGTCTACACTGCCACAGCCTTAAAATTCAGGGAAATGAAGGACGCATTTCAGGGCCGCATTTCGAGCAGCCTTTGAATTGGGACAGGCTTCGGCGCGCCGCTGTGACGTAATCGGCCTTGAAATGCGTACTTTAAGGCTGCAGACCCTGAATTGGGATACAGCCCCTATTGTTTGACTGATGGCCCTTAATATAAAGACTTCGGACTTTACATTTCCCAATTTTTGCTTTAAGTTATTTTGTTATTTACATAATAATGTAAATAATCTAATAACTATCCTTATTGCTGTTTTAGAGAGGAGCGGCGCTTCAAAGGATAGTAGCAGATTTCTGTCAGAATCTGCAGATTATACAGTATAAATAAAATGTTCACGTTTCTCCAACGTTGTCTTCCCAACAGTTTCACTGACATCTACGCTGGATGGCCAGGAAGCGTTCGCAATGTCTTATCGGGTGCTTCTCCGGAGCTGATAATTGGCGTCTGTCTTGTGTCAGTGACGTAAAAGACAGATTTAATGCGACTTGACCATTCAAACAGCAGTCGCTTTCTAAAACATCGGATATGTATCGGATTCAGTACAACATACGAAAGTACGGAGCCCCGCAGGGGACATGGGAGAGAAAAAAAATTAGGGAGAAAAAAAAAAAAATTAAGACGGACTTTTGCGAGATCTCGCAAAAGTATTAGCCGCATTCTTTGGAGGCCGCCAGCTCGAAGCAGACCGGGAGGTCGAGGCACGATGTGCCGGGAAAGCGGTGTTCCTCCCGGCTGTAGTAGGTCTCAACCTCCCGTTAGCTTCGAGCTAGTGGCCGCCAGCTCGAAGCCAACCAGGAGGTCGAGGCACGATGTGCCGGGAAAGCGGTGTTCCTCCCGGCTGTAGTAGGTCTCGACCTCCCGTTAGCTTCGAGCTAGTGGGTGTCAGATCTCCAAAAACGTCGGAGCACTTTTGCAAATATGTGATGTCTTGTAAACCGAGCAGGTATCTGACGTTTACACAACTACATTCACGCCTCAAAATATCTTAAAAGTGTATTTTGTGACCCAGAAAGAGTAATATTACAACTAAGTAGCTGCCGCCATTGTTGGAATTCAACTTTCGCGAGAAAGTTTTGCGAGATCCCGAGTTTGTTTTGCGAGATCTCGCAAAAGTCCGTCTTAATTTTTTTTTTCTCCCTAATTTTTTTTTCTCCCATGTCCCCTGCGGGGCTCCGTACGAAAGTGACCCAGATCGGATTTGAAAATATCGGATTTGTGCCGTTCACACTGTCACACCATGAACGGATATGGGTCGCATAGGGTAAAAAAAACGGATTTGATGCGCAGTGTGAACGTAGCCATTTTGCTATTACTGTTTTTATTCTGATGTTGCCACAAGTAACACACATACACACTTACATGCATTAGTTGTGTGCAAGCTGGCCTCATAATGGATGTATCACATATTATATCATCTGAACTGACTAGTAGGTCTTTGGTCATTAGCATGCGAGCCTCTCTTGAAGGGGGACCTAGTAATGCTAATTTGTCAGCTAATGCTAGCTAGCTTGGTTAGCAAGCAGCAACATACACACATGTCAGCTAATTAGCTAACTGTCTAAGAAAATACCAGAATTTCGCTCACCAAAATTGAAGCACAAGCTTTTTGGACAGTCTGTACCACACAGCAAGCCATTGAACTAGTCAGATAACCTTTTAAAAATGACAAGAGTTTGCGGTTTGCTGAGTTTCAAGTCTGTATTTGTATTTTTGGCTTCTACAACAGTAGCTTTGTGTCATTCAGCCTTGAAACCCATTTTATTTTCTTTGTCCTCGCTTAAGGTAAAGTTTCTTTTCATCGGCTTACACCAGGTTTAAACAGC